CGCTGTGACGGGAGGGGTGTATATCTGAGTTTTTTCCCTCTCAGTAGCCGCTGTGTCACGGGGTGGGGGACGGGCTGTTTTTAGGTCTCCTCTCTTGAACGTAAGGACGTGTGCAGCGTCTGTCAGGAGCTGCTCCCCTCTGCTCTGGAGGGGAACCCCTGAACCCCTGACCCCCCCCCACACACACACACCTTTGGGAATGAGTTACATGTTACACTTCCTGTGGGTACGTTAACATCGAGCCACCAGCTGCCCAGTGAGCGGATTTCTTTAATAATGATCTTAAAACCCTACAGATCCTTTTTTTTTTTAGGGAAGCTCCTCTTTGCTCGTGGATCACTCAGTCCTTTGTTGCAGCTGCTGCCGGAGGGCCAGCGCAGTGGGGGGGGGGGGTATTTCACGTCTTTGCTTCGATCTTTATCGTTCTTGCTCCCACACCCTCCTCTCCGCAGGCTCGGCGCCCACCTCGTTCGAAGGGCCGTTCGGGAAGATCCTGTACCGGGTGCGGGCGGTCATTGACACGCCCCGCTTCGCCAAGGACTACAAGGCCGAGAAGCCTTTCTACCTGCTGAACCTCCTCAACCTGAACGAGGTGCCCGACATCGAGGTGAGAGGCGGCGGGGGGGCGGGCGGGCGGTTACGCTGCAGCGCGCCGGGGAGATTGCTCGCTGTGCCCTCTCGAACCTCGAGCGCAGCTCTGCTCGCTTCCTGTCCTGTCTGCTCCAGCGCTCCTGCGCTCCTGGGATTTCCGAAAGCACTGAGCCGTTCTGTCTCGGACAGGGAAGACTACCTGGGGTCACGATGCAAGTGTTCAAAATCCCCAAGGACGCTGGCAAAAACCTCCATGAGGTCAAAAGATCGATTAGCTCATGATCACGTGAGATAGTCGGGCCGGATGTCTTTTGGAACGGCTCTTGAGCTGGCTTGTTTCCTCCTCGTGCATCTCCCTCAGGGGTGGCGTACTGTCTTCCATCGCCGTCCGGCCCTGCCGTTCGTCTCTTCCTCGAGAGGAGCGAGCGGCTAAGCCAGAGTTTTTCCTCCTCCTCCTCTTGTCACCCCAGAAGCCCAGCTTGGCCGTGGCCACGAAGAAGTTCACCTACCTCCTGGTGAAGACGGGCACGGTGATGCTGAAGGCCAGGAGTGACCTGCGGGGCTACGCGCCCGGACAGGTCATCAAACTGACCGCCGAGGTCCACAACAAGTCCGGCAAGGATACCAGCTGTGTCCTGGCCAGCCTCATCCAGGTACTCCTCTTATAAACCTCCTGGTCCCTCGGAAATATCAGGGCTCTCCAGCCTGGTCATAAAGGGCCCCCAGCGTCTCCTGGAGCTCATCCTAAGTGACGCAGAAAGAGAAGTGAAATTTAACACCTGAAAGGCTTAATCTTAATCTTAATGCAGCCCACCTTATATACAAGGAACGTGAATTTCATACAGATGTTCTCTGGCCACATGTTGCAAGGTGGGAGTTCATATATTACCCTCCGAAGCAAAGTATAACAGGTCGGATATATACAGTACAGTGCTTCTCCTCAGCAGCTGTTATGAATGCGGGAGGTGTGTTGGGGTTTCGGAGGAGGGGGCGGCCTGGAGCAGGGGCGGGGAGCTCGGGTACTGTAGGGCGTCCTCTCGGTGGAGGGGATTCAGCTCTGTGCTCAGTCCTCCTCCCCCTGCAGAAAGTGACCTACAAGACGAAGCGCACCATCTTCGACCTGCGCACCATCGCGGAGGTGGAGGGCGCCGGCGTGAAGGCGGGGAAGCACGCCGAGTGGAAGGAGCAGATCATCGTGCCGCCGCTGCCGCAGTCCGCCGTGCCCGGCTGCTCCCTGATCCAGATCGACTACTTCCTGCAGGTGAGCCGGGACGAGACTCCCAGACTCCCACCGGGAATCCTGAGGGCTGTTCCGCTTCCCTACTGTAAATGCTGCAGGTCCAGAGGCACGAGACAGACTTGGTTCAAGCTCCTCTGGTAGACCACCATGTCATCTTGGGGTTCAAGACCACCACGTGATCTCTCTGGTGGGATTGGAGATGAATCCATTTATTCAGTAAACGGAGCACTAAGATAGTAGTCCTCA